TTCTGCTTATTTTTTAGAAATGTAACTTGTTACATCTTGTCTTTCCTGACTTCACTTTTTTTTTCTTTTCTATTGTAGAGTATGAGGGGTGGCTGGTGTGCAAAATCAGTGGCAGGTCTACAGATACCATAGTGTTTCCCAAACCTACCCCTCCCCTGGGTTTTCTTTTTTGTGGACTGGAGTCTTCTGTACAGCATCATGGGCTCTTTAAAATTTCTTCCATCAAGTCAGGTGTTACCTGTTCTCCCTCTATATTAAGACCAGTGTGTGGGGTTTTTTTTCCTTTAAAGCATTTTCATTCTCTATCAGGTAACATGTGATCTGCAACTCTCTCCCTCACCAAAAATTAATTAGATTTTTTTTTCCAAAGTGTAAAACTGGCACACTAGTGAGCATGTCCCTGAATGGCTTTTGGTGGGGGATAAGGGAGGTTGGGGACAAGTTGAAAGTGGGAGAATCCTTTTCTTCCCTCTCCATTACCCTAGTTCCTAATGAAAAACTGGGCAACATTATAACCAAGAGCAGGGTGGAAGAGATGAATGTCTCCTTTTGTGCCTTGGTGAAAAATAAGGGTGAGGGAGACTGTGGTCCCTGCTTATTGTGTGCGCACACACACACTTATTCACCAGTTCAACACATTCACCCATCTCATAGCCATTTCCCTTTCAATTAAGAACATCCAAGTTCCCTTAACTATTTATTTCTTTCCAGCCTGATCTCCCCCCAGGCTAACGCTTCCTCCCCCTGCCCTCTGTTTTCCCCTTTTACCTACTGCTCAGAACCCTCTCCTCGGCTGAAAGCCCTTCTACTTCCTGATAGCCTTCCTTCACCCTGGCTCAAACCTGCTGCTCCCTCACAACTCCACCTCTGTCAAAATCCCTAGCTCAGACACCTCCTTTCTCCCATGTACCAAATCCTCTGCCCTCACCATAACCATCCTCCCTGACTAGTCCCAAGTTCAGAATTCCTCCCCATCCCACCTTTCTTTCTTGTGTCTCAGAAATTCACCCTCACCCACCGCCTCCTGCATATTCAGAAACCCTTCTCTAGCCAACATCTCAGTTTAGCACTTCCATCCCCTGCCTGTTGCTAAGCCTGGTGAAGCAGCAGTAGAAGCAGCAGGGAAGGACTGTGGCTGAAGGCAGCATGTATAGGGGCCCCATATCTTGTCTCTGAGTCAGCCTTGCAGAAGCCTCTATTCCTGGTATCTACTTCTGCTTCCTCTAGTGCCTGCTGCATCCTGTGTGCTGCAGCAAGACCACCAGGAGTCTGCCAGTAGCAGCAAGTGATACCGCATGCAGTACAACAGCTACATTGTAGACCTTTGTGCTCTCCATGCCAAGGAGTGGCATTAAGTGTTAAAAATTCAGCTTGCTTGGTATGTTATGTGAACCACATGGTATGTTCAGATTCTGCAGAATCTAAACTTTCATTAAAAAATTCTAGCTTTCATGGTTGCAAATGTAATCTTTCAAATGCAAACTGAGAGGAAATGCAGTGCTGTTTTCCTGAATGTGCAAGCAGCCTGAAACAATGGCTTGGAGAAGTGTGAAGTTCCTGTCCATGTTAATCTGTGTATTAATACTCCTATCTAATAATGACATTTTATATGTCTCTATTTAATTGTTGATCTTTTTTCAGATGGGATGAAAAAGGTGTAGGAGTGAAACTATATGGTGGGAAGTGTTGCACATCAGACACTGTAAAAAGAGACCCAGAGGCAGAAAACATTGAGAGACGACACAAAATAGAGTACAAGGAAGGAAGAGGAAATAGAGGGAAACAAATAGCACTAACTGGTCCTAAACCGGAGAAGAATTTCCCCTGAGTGATGCTGTATGTGACTTTGACTTAAATAATTAAAAGTTTAGGTAGTAAAGGCCATATTCTACTGCTGATATTTGTGCAAGCCTCCCAGTAAGATGACTGGGAACTCCACAGTAGATTTAGTTCTACATACTACTCTAAATTTAGACCCTCAGCCAAAAATAAAAGTAGTATTCAGGCCTCTTTAAAGAATGTGTATGGCACCCTTGCTATAAACACTAAATATACCATCTGTAGTATGGCTGCCAAATTGAAGCTTTACAGTCCCTAAGGACTGGACACTGATTTTTTTTTTGGTCTGTCTTCAATGTGTATTTCCTTCTCTCAATCCAACCTTTTAATCCATTTTTCTTTATTCCCTACATCCTATCTACCCCCCACCAATCTTTTTCCCACTATCCTACTTTTGCTATCTAATATCTCTTTCCCCCCCATAATCTCACCCTTATGCGGATCCACTCACAAGCCAGAATAGCTGGTAAAATTTTCTGTGTAAACTGCTGGGGAGCTATACCTACTAGCCAAAGCCTGGAACAATATGTAGGAACTACCTTGTGCAGAAAAATGCCTCAGTAAGATCCTAACTCCCCTTGCAGGAAAAGAGGAGGAGCCTGGATCTCCAACAGGTGCTGTCTCTGGAGGACCTTATCTTACCCTAAGTTTGCTGGCTACACACAGTGATAGAGGGGTTAGGTTCTCTGCATGCTAAGCCTTGTGGGCGCTGCAAAGTTGCGGGTCTGCTACCTTTTCCTTCTAATCTCCATGTGGGGTCTCCTCCCCAGTAGCTAGCGGCAGGGCTGGCGTCCATTATTGCTCATGGATTTTTTTTTTTTGGTCTCTGTAGAAGGTTTCTTAATAGCTGCCGTTGCCATTCCTTCAGCATAAGTCTGCAAGGTTAGCCCGGC